GAGCCATGCTTTGCCCTTCTGCTGGGTGTTGTTACACAGATGCCTGCCTGCTCTGGGCTTTTGAGGTTCCAGCTGGGGAGCAGAACACTTGCTGGTTGCCTAGCAACTGCTAACACTCTCTGCCACTGTTGCCACATGATTCCACAAGCCTGTGGTGTTGTTTTAGAAATGGGAGAGAAAGGGTCTTAACGTGTGTTCCTGTTTCTGCACTCAAGCACCCACCCCCTCATCAATCAATGTCGTTCTGCTTATTCCAACCAGGCAGTGGTGGGAACATGTAGCCCTCCGTATATTTTTGGACTGTAGCTCTCAAGCAGCCCTAGTCAGCATAGCTGATGCTTAGGGGTGATGATCTGTAGGGCCACAAACTGCTAATCCCTAGTTTAACGGGTGTAAATCTGGGCCTGGTATGAACCTTTAGCTACCTAGAATGACTCAAGAGTATCCTAGGCCTCAGACTCCAAATTTTAAGCAATAGGTCCAGAGAACACATTCAATCTCCCGGAGAAAGCAGAAGTTGACCTAATTTAAATTCATGGTTTCTCTGAGCATTTTTTTCTCTCCACACTCAAGCTTTCTGACTGATCCTCTATATTTTCAACCATAGTTCAGGATAAGTGTCTGAGGAGTTACTGCTACCAATGTTTAGATCACAGCTTTTACAGCATTCTCTGCCTATTCAGTAATTTCTAGCATGTACTGTGCATATTTTCTTGCAATAGGTTTAAAATCTGTTGATTTCTTCTCCTTTTTGTGGCATTACAGTTGCTGTAATTCATGTCACCACTAGGTGGTGTGTGCTGTGTTTTATATGAGGAGGTATACATGCAGATATATTAAGAACGCTAATGAGATACACTGACAGCTTGGAAGTGAGCATAATTAGTAAGTTTCTTGTAAACAACAGCAGTTCATGGTCCAAATGAGGGGGGAGTACCTGGAAGTACCCTTTTACTCTTGTTATCAGCCACTCGTGCTTTTACTTAGTTCCTTTTTTTCCAACCACAAAGATGTGTAAATGAACAGTTATCCAGGGATAGCATTGGTCCTACGTCATTTCCCCTCTGTTTTTGCTGCTTGTTGTCCTTTAAGGCATTTAGCAAGACTATGACATAACTGCTAAGTACCTAGCACTGAAGTCCTTCACGGCTTCAACACAGTTCTTGCACTTGCCATTGTCCGGTAAACTTCCACTGCAGTTGACTGCCACCTCCTCCTTTCTTTTTTGCTTTTTGCAGCCTTTTAATGATAGACAAATGCTCTCCTGCAGAATCCCTGCCAATAGATTAGTATGCAGAGGAATCCATTTAATGCCTTGAGGTATGACAGTAGTGGCGGCGGCAGCAGCAACACCAATAGTTGTTGGTGGTAGTGGTGGCTGACCCAAGGGTCTTCTGAATCTGGCAATCAAACGTTTCCGGAAATAAAGTTATGGAGTATATCACTGCTGCTGGAGGAAACAGGAGGCCCTTTGGGTGATAGTAGCTGGCTTCCTTTGCAAATCTTTCCTGGTAGCATTAGCAGTAAATTGCTTGGGAAATGCCATAGTGCTAAATTCTGCAGTCTGCCAGACAAGAGTACAAAAAACAAGCCATGGGTTTTGGGAGGGACAGAAGGTGCTGGAACTCATGGGAAGGGAAGAAACTGGTAAAAAGTGAGATAAGAAGAATATTGTCTGGATAAGCCGCCTAGAGTGGTCATTTTGAACAGATAGGCGGGGTATAAAATAAATAAATAAATAAATATCAACAAAACTTCCAGTAAGATCAGTGCACAATGAACTCAGTAAAGAGGAGGGAAATGCTCTATCTGGGAGATCCTCTAAGTTAACATTGGCTGAAGTCCAGTAGTAAGTCATGACTGGAGTAGGGCCATTGAATCAGTGGGGATTTGGTGAGTAAACTCCTTTGTAGATTTCACTGACTGAATGGGCCTACCCTAGTTGTGTCTTACTGCAAGATTTCAGCCACTTTTATTGTACATTACTATTACAATTCAGTGCGAATTAGTTTCATTCCTTTTGCAATGTAACTGCTTTTTCAGTTACTTTTGCAACTGCACAAGTATAGTTTTGCTACAAGATAGAAGAGGAATATTACATGTCCAGATGTTCAAGCTGTGTCTCATGCTGCTGCCTTTAAGTGTCTTCTTACCCCTTCAAAATCACTTCCAAGCAACAATTTTAGTTACTACCAGGAAACAAACCAAAAAAAGGAAATAGCTGCTTTAAAAACATGAAGATATAATGTTAACTAACTACACCATAACTATATATTTAAAATAACTTAAAAATTATTTTAATAACTTTTAAATAACCTCTGGGCATTATTTTGACCAAGTGTCAACCTCTTCTTCCTGTCTGCTGAGGGCTGGCTTCTCTAAGTGGTTGAATGTCTTTGAGAAGAAAGAACTGAGAGGGAAAAAGCTCTTTTCCTGTTTTCAGGTTGTATGGTTAGAAAGGAAGCAGTCATAGCCCGCTGTGTAAATTTTTCGTATCTTTACTACCTGATGAGGGATGGTCAACAGAGCTGCAGAAAATGGCTTTGGTCACTGGGTTCAAAGATCAGATCTGGATACAGGAAAAGTAAACAGTGGTCACCAAACCATGAATCCTATTGCTGCCTCTTGTTGGTCCTCTGGTTTGTTAAAAATATCCTCTGCGTTCATGTGTATCACGACTTACGCGTATGCCTTGATATAATCTGCAGGAGATAAGTCTTCAGGCAGTTGATGAAACTGGCTCTTGTCTCGTTGATGCTGTGATAAACATGTTAGCCTTTACGAGTCCAGAAGGCTCTTTGTTGGCTGAACTCAAACCATAACTGCTGGTGAACTCTTTGGAATTTCCCAGCACTGGCTCACTTCTTTGGTTGGGTGCTCAGAATAAACTGTCCTATTTGCTCAGTGTTAAGTTTGCACAGGGCTTAATTAGAGCCTGGAGCAAGGGAGAGCAAATAAGCAGGGCAAGGTGTTTCCTTCTGACAAAAATCAGCTGCTCTCACCTAAGCAGACAATCTTGTTATGCACTTCATTGCCCATGGGATCGTTGTGCCAAAAAGATGATAAGCTGACTTCAGATAATTTTGACACCTTTCTGGTAATTTTGACCACCCTTTGGCTTTACTGACCCCCCCACCCATGAGAGGAATGTGACCCACCTGTATTAATTCAAACTGGTTAAATCTTATCATGTCAGCAGCTGCACAGAGACTCAACAAAATATTGGTTCAAAGAAAAAATTCCCACCTATATGATACAATTGAATATAATATAAGGGAGCAAAGAACCTCCATAAACAAGATTGCATACTGGAGTAAAGGAACATTTGATTTGTCCTTTCAGATGTCTGATACTTCATTTCCCAAAAGACCCACCCAACACTGTCATACCTAAAAGACAGGGGCTGCTGTAGTTCAAACCATCCAGAGGATCAGTGATTCCCCACCTCTGCTATATAAATGATACCAGGAATAAGTATCAGGAACAGCAGGTCATCATTCCATGCTCTGCTTATGAATGCTGGTCAAGTCTCTGAAGGAAATTTACTGCTGAACTAGATGGATGGATGGGGATCTGATCCAGCACAGCCATATATACCGTATTTTTCGCACCATAAGAGGATCTGATCCAGCACAGCCATGTATATATATTAGAATTTTTATCAGCAGCATCAGTGTAACTGGTGATAATAACTGGTGTATCACCTTAGCAGTGGAAATAACTATTATGCCATATTTGATAGTACTTCTGTCATTACGAATGCTGCCATAATAAAGGATTGTGATGGTGGCTATGATGACACTCACATTTAGCATATCACTATTGCTACCTGGCACCTCTGAGTGTTCATAAAATTTCAAATATATTAACTCCCTGTAATTCTTACAAAAGCTTTATGCAAGGTACATCATGGTTGGTATTTTTATTTGGATATCCCAGATAAAGGGTGAGCCTGTGAATTGGGGAAGGTCATTGTCACATGCTCACAGCATGACCAACATGGTATTCGGATTGGGGATTACCTGGCTCACAACTTTTGGCCTTAAAACCACAGCCAGTACATTGCATAAGACACCTGTGAATTTTTACTTGGCATAAATTCTATTAAGAGGGACTGACTTCCAAAGAAACCTAAGAACACTTTGAAAACCTCATAGGTATTGCTCACGTGGATCAAAAGAGACAGCTGATGGACACCACAGGAAAACAAGTGTGCATTTATAAAGAAGTATATTTGAACCCTGCCATAGATGCCATCTGCTCCCTGAGCTTTGAGAAGAGACTGTAGAATGTGCTCTGCAACCTTGAAAGCTAGGGAATATCTATTTATTTGTTTACAGCAACAGTGGTAGTGATAACAGGAGCAGTAAACTGAGATGCTCCACTGTCTGTATGTTTCTCAAGAATCTTCTGCATGGAACAGCAACCTTGTGGGCTGGTTCTTGGTTCACAGTGGAAAATAAACCTAAAATCTATCATCACACACTGAAATGTATAATTGCATCTAATTTTTTTTTTATTGGTTCGAGTGATTGACACTGATTTGCTGAAACTTTTATTATCTTCTCTTCAGCTTTGGCTCTCAGAAGATGAGATATCTATTAAATACAGTAAACAAATGAGACACAGAAACTTTATTTTTCTTTTACCAAAAGAAACAGCTATGGTTGTTACAATTGTGACAAGTTTTGCTTAGCAACAGAAGGAATCAAGTAATATTCCTTTTAACTGACAAATTCCATTCCTGTTTTTAGCTTTGCTTCATTTTTTGAAATGTCATACTTCATCCTCCGGCTACTTCAATTCTAATTATTAGCAGCATTTCAGAGAACCAGCCTTCAAAGTGAGGTTAGGAATCCTTAAGAGAAATCTCCCCTCCAAAGATGGCTTCAGCATTAACAGGGAGCAGGTAAGTGACATCATTAACACATCACAGACGAAATGACACAGAAGTGATTTCATAAGCAGTATCTCTGGACTACATTTTGAGGCTGCTAGCATGTGCATGGTATACCTTTTCTGCTTCCCTAGAGTGTTTTGCTGTGTGTGGATAAAGATCAAATGACTGTCTGTCTACAGATGCCAACAGAACTTGGACATTTACTTTGAAGACCAAAGAGATTGGAGCCATTTATAGGATCATAGGTAGGATGATGTTATGTGCCCCAGAGCATTATCTCAGAACTGTTTGGTGATGGACGACTTCAGCATCTCATAAAATCCGTTAGTCTTAAAAGAAGTCTTCCTAGCTCAACTTCAGCACAGGACCCCTGGCTATACCTGAGATAGCAGTCTAGTTTAGGTGACCCAGGTCAGGCTATGTCCTCCAATGGAGGAGAGTAGCTGGGAGGCTCAAGAAATGTGGCAAAGGACACTGCATCAGTGCCCTCCATCATTTTCTGACAAAGGCAGGGTTTAATGGAAAGCTTAGGCAGAGCCTGTTACTGTGATCCTCAACAATGAGAGCAATAGCTTGACCCTGTCTTGCCTTTTGTATTTTTAATTCATACTAGGAGTTGGAACTAGTATACTACTCACAGGTTGCTTTCATTGAACACCTGAATAGAGTTCTTCCGACACGAGAATCAAATAGTATAAAGGTTGGGCCATCCATTAGCCAGAGTGATACAATCACCACAGGCAATAGAGTGCAGGGACTTCTCCCCTTTTCCACCATCATTGCTTCCCTACGTCCAGAGCTCAGTCATTGCTTGGTGGCTTACGGGAATAATAACCCACCGCAACTGTTCTTGGGCCCAAGGCATTATGGGGAGAGGCAGCGAAAAAGATCAATTGCCACAGGCAAGCTTTTTTTTGGCCACCACTAATTTGCCATGTGCATGGGAAAGCATTAAAAATAAATTATGCCACACTTTCAATCTGAATTGATACGGTTCAGGAATGGCTCTGTAATATAGAAGTGGATAGCAAATCCAGTTGATTTCAGTGAGAGAATGAGTGTGTGCTGATATTGCTGTTTTTCAAATGAGTAGGCCATAAAAAGCACAGTTGTGGCTGAATTGTACCCATCAATTTTTAAAGAAGGATAAAAGGCAGACAAAGGAGGGTCGAGAGTTCATAATACAGGGAACAGCAAAAGGAAAAAGGATCAGAGACAGTGTAAAGCAAATGGAGCACAAGTATGAAAAAGGAGGAAAAGGAGGAGGAGGAGAGTGCAGGAAGGCATGGATTTAACACTATGTTAAGCCCTACTTAGGGTGTGATCGCAGCGAAATAGACTGCAATTTGAACTGCTTGTGTAGCAGTCTAGTGCAATCTGTTTCCTGGCAATCACACAACATATGGGAAAATGCCTCCAACCCATCTCCAACCCATGATCAAGCTTGCTCTTTTTGGTCCGGCTCTAGGGCTATGGCCTTTGAGGGTCAGGTTTGGAGTGATTCCCCAACAAAGGGAAGGGTCACTTCAAGGGAGATGGCATCTAAAGCAACCCCTCCCTATGCAATCAGGCACATATCTTTGCAGTTATCTGATTGCACCTCTAGAAATACAGGTAGAGTTGTGTGTCCTTGAAGAAAGTGGTAAAGATCTGATCCCCTGCCTATGTGTGTTCCAAAAAAACCTCTGCACCTCTGCAGTATGGCTATACATTTATATTCCTATAGATAGATACTGCAGATACATTTTGGTACAGGTGGAAAGGGTTAAGCGCAGGCTATTGTGATAATCCACCAAAGAGCAACATCTTGATGGGTATGTAGTGACTGTGCAGAGCTGACTGCACTTCTGAAAGGGAATTGAGGACAAAGCTGATAAATTACTGTTCCTCTGGATGAAAGACAGATGGGGATGTATGCCTGATAAAGTGTTGGCGTGTGGGTGGGAAATGGGGAAGGCATGGTTGAACCTATGTCTGTGGATATGTCAGTTTCATAGAATAAACAAATATGCCCTGGCTTTTAATCTGAATGTTCAAGAATCTATCCATAGTCCTAGTTTGATTATAAGGTTCAACACCTTGTTTCAAGAATCTATCCATAGTCCTTAACCTAGTTTGATTATAAGGTTCAACACCTTGAATAGCTCTTGTAAAGTGTGGACCAAAATCTTTAGCAGATTTGCTACCCAAGAGTGGTGACTTGCCTCTGTAAACTGTTAGCAGATGAGCTCTTGGCTAGACCATCTTGGAGACAGGTGGGCATGGGGGCTAGGTTGCAATACAGCACAAGTAGGCTGCTTAAATTTCTCTGAAATCATCCAGCCACAGATCTGTAGCCATGTGAAAAGCTTCAACTAATTATTTAGTTCCTCTCTTGACTTTCTTAATTGAAGTTCAAACTTTAGTCATAAAATTTTCACTTCCCCTAAATAGTTCAGCTCTGATGGTTCATTTCTATCAAATCAATTAAAGAAACATTCTGATTATTTAAATCAGTGAAGTGTGACATTGCAATAGATGGCTTGTGAAGTGCTTAGTCAATCCTAGAGACCATGTATATTGTTAAACACCAAGACCACATTAAATTGGGTATAAAATCCATAGAACATCAAAGCCATCTTGGGTTATGCAACCTGTTCCGATTTTAAGAAATGCCAGAAACACTGAATTGCTAAGTTCGAGTTCCAGTATCACTGATTTACAGTGACATGTTGCATAAATCACAAAAGGAATCTAAAATATTCAGAAGTGGCAAGTCAGTTAATTGCAGACAAATTCGTGATAGTTCCTTTTCTCTTCATATTTGCTGAACAATTGCAATACTCTCAGTATGAGATGATAAAGAGATATTCAAAGAAAATGGTATTTCCTGCTCTTACAATGTTTTAATTCACAGAGAATTATCCTCCTTGTGATCCATGATCCTGTGCTTATATTTCAGTGCAAAATTCCATATGTGCTTGTGAAGTTCCTTAGTATCCTTGGAACAACACAGAAGTGATGTCTGAGATCCCAAACCAACTCCCTGGAACCCTCACACTCATCTTCAGGGCAGAGCTGAGGGATGGCTCCATTGAAGAGCACACCAGATGTAATTGCCAAAAAAATTGTGTGTTGAGAGAAATATTGCAACATGGGTATGGCCACTCACAAAGGATCAAATGCCCAGAATGCAAACAGGTAAAGCTAGTTTGCCAAGAACCTAAGCACACAGCAGAGGTGGGGGCTGAGCTCCCAATCACAAAAACACTTTTTTAGACTCACAGTTGTCTGTTTTTTACACTCATTTCCCAGAAGATAAACTTCTCTTTTTCACACAATCAACTAACCCAGTCCACACACACAGAGACAGAATACACTACAAACACACTCCAGAAAAACATACACCTCAATATGACCACCACTCCTAATGCACACGTGTGCACGCGTGCACACACACAGACAGAGCGACAGAGAGAGTGTTTTAGATGACTTGTAAGACTTTTTCTTGTACAACCTTGGGAGCAGCAAAACAGGCTCCTTCCAATCCTTTCCTACCCTACCTCTGTGACTATTGTGGAAATTGGTATTTCCCTTATAATTAGCAGAATATAAAATACAAAACAAACAGCAGAA